AAGGCAATTGAAAATACCATGGCTTGGGTTAGCCACACCTTAGTTCTCAAAGTAACTCCCTTGCTTTTCAATACTCTAAAGAGGTCTTGTGCAGTATGTTTACCTAATGCAGCACGTATTCAATCTCTTGACAGCTGATTAGCATTGATGGTGGATCTAAGCAAGACAAAATTCCTGACCTCAATCTTTTCTCCATTTCCCATGTACGATTTGTACAATTGTCAGGATTCTGGTGTTCTTTACACTGAGTCATAATCCATAGTGAAGGCTACAACCCTTGATTTTCATCAGCAAGAGCTTCATGTCCTCTTCACTTTCAGCAAGCAAGGCTGGGTTATCTGTATGTCACCGATTTTTAGTAAGCCTTCCTCCAACAATGGGGCTGAATTCTTCCTCATATAATCCAATGTCTTTGATGATTTGCATAGCACACAGATTGAGAAAGTAAAGTGTGAGGATACAACCCTGATGCACACCTTTCCTGCTTTTAAACCACGATATTCCCTTGTTCTGTTTGCACAAGTGCATCTTGCTCCAGTACAAGTTCTACAGGAACACAAGGAAGTGTCCTGGAATTCCCCTTCTTCTCAAGGTTATCCAGTGAGTTATGATCCACATAGTGGAATGCCTTGGGATAATCAATAAAACACAAGAATACATCTTTCTGGTATTCTCTGCGTTCAGCCACGATCCATCTGACATCAGCAACAATAGCCCTTGTTCCACATCCTCTTCTGAATCTGACATGAACCTCTGGCAGTTCTCTGACCATGTACTGCTGCCACTTCTGTTGCATCCATACAATACCAGTGATATTGTTCTATAATTTCTTTGGAATAGGTACCAATAAGGTTATCGTCCAGTCAGTAGGACAAGTAGCTGTCTTCGAAATTTCTTGGAATAGATGAGTAAGTGTTTCTGATGTTTCAGCAACTTGTTGAAACATTTCTATTAGTATTTTATCAATTCCTGGAGCCTTGTTCTTGGCTAATGCATTTTAGTGCAGCTTGAAAAGCTTTCTTCATTCTCATATGCTACCTCCAGAAATGCTGGAATGTCGACTAGTTCCTTTTGGTATAGTGTCTCTGTGTATTGTTCCCATCATCTTTTGATGCTTCCTGTATCATTCACTATTGTGCCCACAGAGTCCACATGGAGAGTCACCATTAGTTGTTGAAAAAAATTATTTGAAATGAATCATTGTTCTGGCAGAATTTTATCCTGTAGTTTCCAGCTTCATTTTTATCACTGACACATTATTTTCCAGGTAGTGATCTTTCCTCTGTTCCCAACATTCCTATTTCAATCTACAATAATTATCAAGTCATCTTGATTTTATGTGTATCAACTTTAGATTAAAGAAGTTACTAAAAATCTTACGGAAAGAAAATATAACAAGATTTTGAGGGGAGGGGCGATAGAGAGGAGTGGGGGAAATAAAAAGCCGACTCAAGAAGTCCAGGAAGGGAAAGTATGTTTGGACACTGATTATGGAAGCAACTGAACTGTAGAATATATGACATATGTATTAACTCCCAAGGTACAGCAAATTAATTTTTTTAAAAGCCTAGATCCAGGCATGGGTTTGGGGCTTGCACTAAATCTTAGCTTTAACTTTAAAAAAATTAGCTCGATACACACCTCCATGAAAAGATCAGTGACGATAAGGGTGCTACAGCAAAGTGTGGGGAAGAAAGCAGATGGTGCCTGACTATCAACTGGAATAGTGTCTGGAGTCGTAAAGGTTTGTATTTGAACAAGCAGCCATCCAAACGAGGAGTCAAGTAAGTCCACACGGAAGAAGCACACCAGGCTTGTGTGATCCAAAGATGATAATTACAATATTCAAGTATGGTGAAGAGAAAAGTATAAGAGCTAAAGTTATGAACAGCCAATTTTTAGAAGGCTATAGAGGACAGTGGCAGCCCAAAACCCATCTGCAGAGAATCTTGTGAGACTGAGCCACTGGCAGAACCGTTCTAACCCAAATCAAGTCTCGAACACCCTTACAACCAGGCACAGACTATTGCAATCTTGATCATGCTGGATCGAACCTGGTACTTGGCAGTTGACTCCTCCTACAGACATGAACTGTATTTGTACTGGGAGCAAGTATCTCTTACTTGTTCCATGACAAAAATTTCCTCCATGCACTTTGGAATGTTGATGGGGGGTCTTTTCCTTCTTACACATTATTTGTCTTTTTGTCTTTATACTATTATGATTTTAGCCTTACTACCTTAGTACAACATTGTTTTTAACTGTTTTCTGTTGGGTTTCCCAGCTGTGAAGCACAGAGGAGAGGATATATAATGAGAATAAAAGACATAAGGAATTATAGGGAACGCAGCAAGGAGCCCTAGAAATGATTGTGATCGCGCAACTCGTGTTACAGGCGATCTATCCAAATGGGGGAGGTGGGATGCTCTAAGATTGATGTGGTGGTGACTGTTCAATGTTCCTTGATATGATTGAATGATTGAACTACTGAATTTTATCATATGTAAATTATGTGCCAATAAAACTGTTGGGGGGAAAAAGTTTACATTTGCTGATCTTTGGCATTGGTGGTTTCGGCAAATTTTGAAGAACCACTGTATTACCTAGTCATTCTTTTCTATCACTCACCGCATCATACTGGTACTTCAACATAGAACCAGCAACGATCTTTTTGATGATGACTGTGACATCATTTCTCTTCAATTTGTTATTCTGGCATATTAGACCATGTGTTTATCCACCTCAAAATGGCCTGGGGGTATCAACTGATATGTGTTCCATTTCATTTGACAATTTCCAATTTTCCTAGATTCACACTTCCTCCATTCCATGTTCTAATTATTAATGGATGCTTCCAGCTGTTTCTTCTCAATCATTTCACGAAGTAGCATATGATCAAGAATCAAGCTGTACTGACTGTATTTGCAAAAAGCAAAAGTGCCAAGAGTTGATAGAATACAAGTTATGTGTTTCAACAAACAGATCAAAGCTGGAAGCGCTAACTGGTCTCTTGTCAAGAAATTTGGAAGACAACTACCTAGTCAACCAACTGAGAGACATCCATATCTGTGCCCATTCCAAAGAAAGTTAATCCAACAGGATACAACATTTTCAAAGAATATCATTCATCTCACATCCAAATAAAATTACGCTCAAGATAATTTAAAAATCACTGCAGCAACACATCAACAGAGAACTGCCAAAAAAGGTCATCAAATGAGGGCTATCACTGCTAACGGCAGATGGATCTTCGCTGGAGCAGAGAATTCCAGAAAGATGCAAAGGCATTCAATTATGCCAATCATAACAAATTTTGGATAAAAATGAGTGGAAATGCAGGACCCTTAATTGTGGTCATGTGGAACCAATATCTAGACCAAGAGGTAGTTAGTTATTCCAACAGAATCAAAAATATGTGGCTTAAAATCTGGAATCGTTGTCGGTGCGTGTTGTACCCATTCATAATTCTTAAGGAATTATGCTGGGCAAATAATATGAGAAGCTAGAATATATGAAGAAGAACAAATCATTAGGATTGGAGGGTGACTCATTAATAATCTTCAATATGCAGATGACTCAACCTTACTTGCTGAAAGTGAATAGGATTTGAAATACTTACTGGTGAAGACCAAAGACTAGAGCCTTCAGTCTGGATTACACCTCAATATAAAGGAAACAGACTACACCACCAAGAACCATCTTGTTAAACAGAGAAAAGATTATGTAGTCAAGAGTTTTAATTTCACTGGACTCACAATCAATACCCAATAAAGCAGCAACCAAGAAATTAAAGAATGTACTGTAGTTACCAAATGCGCTTCAAAGACCTCTTTAAAATGTTATAAGGAATGTAACTCTGAGAACTGAGGCACAATTGACCCACACCAGGCTATTTTCAATCATCTCATATACCTGCAAAAGCTGGTCAATGAAAAAGACAGCCTGGAAGATAATTGATGCATTTGAATTTTGGTACTGGCAAAGAATATTGAAATTGTGCATGAAAAGGAAGATAAACACAGATCTTTAGAATATTGATTTGAAAGAAGGAATCTTCACGCTAGATCTTCGGAAGAACTAACAATACGCCTTGGAGCAAGGGCAACCACAGTGCTCCTTTGAAGCATGAACAGTGAGACTCCACCTCGTGTACGTTGGACTTGTGATCAGGAGAGACCAGTCCCTGGGTAAGGGCATTATGCTTGTTAGAGATAGTACATAAGAGGAAGACCCTCACAAGATAGACTAACACACTGGCTACAACAATGGCCTCAAACATAGAACCTATTGTGGGGAGGGCACAGGGCCAGGCAATGTGTCGCTCTGCAGTGAAAAGGGTTGTGATGAGTCAGTATCGACTAGAGGGTGTCTAACAAAGGAACGGGCTTTTTGATTATCGAGAGAAGAGCATTATATTTAATAACTATAAATGTTGATTTGCCTTTCTTCTTTAATGTTAGTTGTTTTTTTTTGCTAGATATATGCATATTGAGAATTGTTATGTCTTAACTGTTATCAATATAACGTTTTTCTTTATCCCTGGTTATTTGCTTTGCTCTGAAGACTAGATTGTCTAATATTAAAATATCAACACCAGTTTTCTTGTGATTAGTGTTTGCATCGAATGGTTCCTTTGCTCCTTTTATTTTTTAATAAGCTCTATCTTTATACTTGCAGTGGTTTCCTTTTGGAGAGAATATATTTGGAACCTTGCACCATGTTTTTAAATCCTTTCTGACAATCTGTTTTTTAACTAGCATTCACAGACCATTTACTTTAATATTACTACTATTATGTTTGGATTTTAGTCTGCCTTTTCTTATTCCAAAACCAAACTATGCTACAATTATTTTGGTATTTCACTTAAATAAATTGTTTTGTTTTTTAAAAAACGGAAAACATATCACCCAACAAATATTCAGTTAGAAAATTATCCAAAAGAGAATTGAGAATATCTATTTGTAAGGACTCTTAAAAAAAAAAAAAAGAGGACTCTTTACCTAGATCTGCAGTTATCACAGCATTTTTCAGTTCCCATGATATCCAAAGAGGCCTTTCGTAGTTTTTTGTCTTCAAAATGGGACAAGATGATTCTACCCCAAGAGAAAATTGAAAATTAAATAAAAGAACAAAACTGTGTGTTAAATTCATTGCTGAAAATATTCAGGTGAAATCATCAGTAATTGGTTCATCTGGGGCCTCATTATGCGGCTTCAATTTACTCATGCTCTGAAAGTTTAGCACATTATATATAACATCAGTAGAAAAGTTTTTTCAAAATACGCTTAATTTTTTACCAAAGCATTTTTCTAAAGGGTTATCATTTATAAATTCATGTTAGTGATATATAATAAATAATACATACTGTCTTCTACACCTGCTGGCTTGAAGGTATCTTTCCATCTTTGCCATCATCTTTAATTTGTATAATCGAAACTTTTCATTTCTTATCTCACTCAAGAGAACGCTGTCAATTAAAAAAGTAGGGCAGCAATATGAAAAAAATGTATCAGCAATTTTAATACTGAAATTTTATTTTGTATAACCCCACTCCCATAAAGATAAAGAACTCCAAATACCCTAGAAAGTTCCCTTGTTTCAGTCAGTAATTCAGCAAACCTGCTGTGGCAGGGCCGTCTGACCTCCTCTAACTTCACAAGGGAAAACAGACTCAGGTGGATTCCTATGAAGAGGAAGTCACATTTAACTTCACTCTTCAACCTTTTGCCCAATTCAAAACGCAGCTGTCCTTTCCACAGCATTCTCCACTTCTTTGCCAGGCTTGATAAATTGCTAAAATGGTTACAAAGAACTCACAGATCGTACTTACAAGTGAGGGAGTTTATTAGGGAAGTAAGCTACTATTCAGGATCCGGCAATACTGTACTCAGAATAGTTATCCAATCAGGACAGCCTCTTCTCAGTCATGTTTGTAGGTAGGCTTCTCTATGTCCCTCACTCCTGCCTCTGCCTTGCTTGGGCAGGTATTACACAGCTCTCCAGGTCCTCTGATAAGTGTCAGGTGTACTACACTGTAACAGTTACACTGGGTCCAAAGCCACTTAGCTCTCCAGATCCATGGGTTGGCAAGCCTAGCTCCACTGACAAGTGCTACGAGGTATCTCATTCTGCCAGCAAGCCTCCTGCCTGAGTGCACTCATCCATCATGCCACGGGTCAGCACATCTCCTACACCATCTTTCACTAGTCTGTTCATTCTGCTGTTTCCATTTATCTACTGCCACTTCTAGCCATCTCACACCATCTCCATTGTTACAGTTATCTGTCTCCAGATTTTAGGAGAGTCTCAACCCAGGGATCCTGCATCCAAAGGATGTAATCCACTCCTGTCTGTTCTTGGTGGTAATGGCTCCCCATTTCTATATCTAGGGTGGCTCAGTTTATGCAAAAATGTAGGGCAAAACTGTCCACCCCCCTCATAAGGACTCCAAACATCTTACCGGCATGGTCCCAACCCTGCAAAAATATCATGCCCTCTATTTACATTATTAGCAGCTATCTAATCCTCTTGGTTTCCATAAGGACATCGTGTACATGGGCACACCCAATCACAGTGGGAATTACAAAATTATGGCCAAAAGGGCCATATTAAGTGATAAACTGCACCACAGACTCCAACTAGAGGCAAGCATATATATATGGAGATTGCATTTGAAAAAATTCTACCCAAATCCAAGTAAGGATTATTTAGCTGACTGTGAACAATTATTATAAAATCTTTTCATTTAGATTTACATGCTACATGCTTTTTGGCTTCTGGAAAGCCTACTACTATATATGAATGTTTTCTCCTCTTAAAAATTGGTTACTTTTTTAAAAGAGAAACTAAAGGCATTAATGTAAGAAATGCTAAAAGAAACTAGTGATCTAAATATGAGCATTTGTTCCTATTACCTTTTCAAAAGACTTTTTAGCTTCAAGGACGGTTTCTTTTAAGTCTCATTGAGCAATCTTGGATTAAGTACTCTTAGAGAAAACACTGATGATTCCATGCAGAAATATACACATTCTGGAACTGGTGAAGTGTCAGAATTAATGTTCTTCCTCATGTCATTATAACGGATAAATTTGCCATCATGTTTATATAAAATTTTTCATATCATTAGAAAGATGTTGGCATATACCATTACTCATCCTAACTGTTCGTACCAAGTTTTCCTTGAAGAAATTCTATGAATATCAGAACTCAGCTCATGACAATTTGAAAAATGGCTTTGTCCTCTTTTCAAGAATAAACAGAAATCAAGTTGAATGGATTTCAGGTTTTTAAAATGAAAACATGACTTACCTCAAACCCTAGGTGTTAAGACTGATCTTCATTAAAAAAGGACCTCACTCATTAATATTTTTACTATCCAACATTTCAATTGATTCAAATGCCTGCATAATTTTCTAGGATGACTTAACTAGAAATCAAACTGTATCTGAAAAGCCTGAATGCACAAAAGATCTGTTATTCAACAACATTCTTGCATTTGACACTACCAACTACTATCAGATCACATGTACTATATATCTCCAAAAGCTCTCATTTCTAGGTTAGCCATCTAATCTCATTCTCCCTGGTCCATGGGTTAAAATGCACTTCCTCTTTTATTTTCTTTGTTTAGCTTATCTCCTTGTTCTCAGCTAGAAAGAACAAGTAAATCTACACGTATCTAGACTATAATAACTACATCTTTTCTTTCTTTTGGTCTAGATAATATGAATTATTTTATCAGTGTTCGTCATAAATTTTAAGAATTTTTAATTTGCATCTTTAAAGGCAAATGAAAGCTATGTGTGTACATATACATATGTATACCTGGTGTCATGATTGCATGTTGGGCTACAAACTGCAAGGTCAGAAGTTCAAAACCACCAGCCACTCCATGGGAAAAGGTGAGGCTTTCTACTCCCATAAGCCCACAGGGGGCAGTTCTACCTTGTCCTAGAGGGTTGCTATGAGTCAGAATTGATTTCCTTAATAAAAAGTATAATAACTACTGGTAACAAAAGCAGGCACTGGGATTTTGTACATGGTATTGGTTTTGCAATAAGAAATATAAAATTACATGTCTAAACTGATGACTGGCATTTATTCTTTTCACCACAGATTCCTACCGTAGGGCAATCTAACAATGTTGTGAATTACAGTGACTTTATACAGTTGAATCCCGGTCCGTGTAGTGGGTTACACATTGGACTCCTAACCACAAGAATGGTAGTCTCAGAAACCCACAGTGATTCTAGCTCCTAGTGATGCTACAGGACAGAGGAGAACTGCCTTTGTGTGTTTGAGGCTATAAATCTTTATGGGACAGAAAACCTCATTTTTCCCCACAGAGCAGTAGGAAGGTTTGAACTACTGACCTTGTGATTAGAAAAAGGTTTGAACTACTGACCTTGTGATTAGAAGCCCAGCATGTAACCCACTACATCACCAAGGCTGAACTGTTTAAGGTCACTGTAATTCACGAAATTGTGCAGAGTACCTACATGGATTAAGCCTTCAGAGAACCCCCTCTATTCACTAACCAGGGATGTGAATAGTCTTGCTATATCCAAGTGCATTGGATTAATACTGATGGAGTTAGGTTAAAATTTAACACCTTATGATCTGTTCTCCCTTTTGACTCACTTTAAACTTGTTCCGGTTTTTATTATATTCTGCTTCCTTCTGATTGAGGGTTTTCTGTGTTTTATTTTGTTAGTGTTGTTGGCGGTTGCTTTTGTATGTTTTTCTTTATATGAAATCTAGGATAGGTAAATCTATAGAGATAGTAACTGGTTAATAGTTTCTTAGGGTTAGGCAGGAGAGTTTGGGGGGAATTGGGGAGCTAATAAAGCTGAGTATAAGAATGAAGAAAATGTTCTAAAATTGATTGTGCTGATGACTGCGCAGCTTTTAAAAACACGTTTAAACCATTGAATTGTATGGTATGTGAATTATATGTCAATACAACTGATTTTGTGTGTGTGTGTTTTGTAAAAGGCCAGGAAGGCTGCACAAAGGAACTACTACCCATCATAATAAAGTACCTGCTCAATCTTTAAAGTCAGAAAGAGCTGTCCCATGATAGTTTCACTAAGAAATATTACCCCATCCACTCTACAATCCCGATCTGGTCCCGTCAGATTTCTTTTTGTTCAGTAAAGGCAAGCAATACTTCAAAGGAGCATGGTTTGAGTTGCTCAAGGAAGTCAAAAGTGCCATATTTAGCATGGTATAAATCATCTTTGGGAAAAGGTTAGAGATGTAAACACTGACTACAGAACAGCTTATGTCAAGAAACAGTACCTGTACATTTTAATATTTTGTTTAATAAAGATGCTATGGTATTTTAATAACATTTTTTGATGACACCAATATATTCCATAGGATCTGTGTTACATACTCTATTGGGATAGGGCTGAAATCAGGACATCTCCTCTGTCTAAGCAACACGCAGCACAAATATGCTTGGGTGTCTTCTGTTTTGCCTTGGCTTTAAATGCGTTTTTCCAAAATACTTTACATTTTAGGCATTGCCTCATGTAGTTTAAAAACTTACACAGAAGGGAAGGAAAGCAAAGATGGAAAAGTCTATAAGGGTAAAACTAGAAAAATGTCTTTTACCTATGTAAGCTCATGTCTCCTGGGGCCCACAGTACATGACAAGAACTTGGAAGTCCATCACGGCCAGCTCTACCAATCTCCTGGTAGTATGACTCCATTTCCTTAGGAGCCCCATAATGAATGACTTTGCGAATGTCAGCCTTATTAATGCCCATTCCAAAGGCTATGGTAGCAATCACACACTGAAAATAAATAACAATTAAGTTGGACAAATATTTAGCACGATTAAAACCTTACATTTCTACCACGTGAAAAGAATACTTTGTTTATAAGAGTCTTTTGTACACTTCCTATAAAAAGGTAATAAAGATGGTGGCATCACAAAGCACCTGTGACTATGTGGCACGAATGAGCTGTGAAAATTTTTAGGTTAAATAAAACTTTAGAGTGTTATTTTCAGGTACCCTTATCTGATTGCATAATGCCTCAATATTTTCTAGAGTTATTCAAAGATGGAAGTTTCTCATTAAAGAGAGAAACACAGAATAAGATTAATTTATATATACATATACATATCTTTTAGAAGATAAAACCAATAGAATATACGTAACATGCATGAACATACTGAGATAAGATTTACATGATTAGGGGAAAACTCAGGGAAGAATTAGGAAAAAGTACATAAAAACAAACACGTTTTAAAAAGTTGTAACTATAGAGAATAAAAAACTATATAGTGCATATACTCGAGTATAAGCCACCCCGAAATCAGCCGAGGCACCGAACTTTACCACAAAAACTGCATTAAAAATATGCTGAAAAACTTGTCTTGTACACAAGTATATATGGTAAAAAAAATGAATCAGAATATACTACATGGTTTCGAAGACTCACAGAAATAAACTTACGTAAGCAACGCATATTGATCTAACCAAAATGATAAATAAATATCCTGAACGGTAAGGGATTAGAAATGCATATGTGTAGCAGTGAGAGGGGCAGGACTCCATCTAAAAGAAGGCTAACGCGTCGTCGTCTGTGGGAGCAGCAAGTCAAGAGATCATGCTGAACACTAATAAAAATAGACACCCAAACGGTTGCAGTCTAAGAAAACTACTATAAAATTCAGTGGTAACCACCACAGGAATAAGCTAAAAGCATTGGGAATGGGAAGCAGAAGTGGGGAATGAGTGAGAAAATGATACTTTGCTTTCAAAGAATCCTGAAATAATTTGGTGCTTCAAGCTATAGAAATATATAATTTATAAAAATTCGAGTGCTATTAAAAAATAAATATATGTTCTAAGTTGAACCCAAGACAGCTAAAAAGAAAGAGATAAGGATAAAGGAGGAATGAATGGAAAAAAGAGAAATATCTTAAAAATAGTGATAAAGGGGAGAAGAAAATAAATAAATGTAGGAACGAATATCCTTTAAATCCTTGGATGAAAATGCTAGCCAATTGTGCTGTGTGTATAAATAAGTGTGACTCACTTAAGTGTGAATACGTAACCTAATAGTAATTCTAATCTTCATCATGTAATATTATTTTAGATGAGATCATGATTCTCAAAATAACAAACTCTTATATATAAAAGTAATTTTCAATTTATTTATGAGCATCATCATTTTAGAAAGGAAGAAAATTCACAGTATCTAAAAAAGGTACATAAAATGGTAAAGAACATGAACTAAAGTGAGATTAAAAATAACTATGAAGGTGGGGAGAGAAGGGGAGGAAGGGGGTACCAATCGCAATGATCGACACATAACCACACCCCCTCCACACCCCAGGGGAGGAACAACAGAAACTGTGGGGGAAGGGAGACAGCGGTTGGTGTTGAGATATGAAAATAATAATAATTTATAATTTATCTAGGGCTCACAATGGTGGGAGGGAGGGAAAAAAGAAGAGCTGATACCAAGGGCTCAAACAGAAAGTAAATGTTTATAAAATGATGGCAAAATGTGTACAAATATGCTTGATACAATTGATGTATGGATTATTATAAGAGCTGTAAGAGCCCCCAATAAAATTAACCTTAAAAAATAAATAAATATGAATGGTTACAAATGAAAAATGCAATTCTACATCCAAAGATGGTTAGATTTGGCTTAAAATACTAAGAGAGAAAAAAATTAATATAAAGCAGAAATAATTAAGATTCTAAGCTCCTCTTACTAGAAGTTACAAAGAGCCTGGGAATCTGGGTGAACTTTCGTGTCTGCATTTTCACTTTCAGTCGGCACTCAGTACATACGCAATGGCAAGTGATCAACTCTAAGAGCCCAGAGCATCTCATACTGGTGCTGAAATGCCTTTTTAAAATCTTGAGAAAGTGTCTGAGAGCTCTCAATGTAAATTTTAAAGCTTTCAAATTATAATTATGAAACAGGAGTACATAGGAGCATTGCTGAGAAAACAGAACTGGTTTCACCCTAGGGCAAAATGATTGATAATAATTTTCATACAGTAGATGAGTATTTGTAGCAAAAAGATCCTTCCAGAAATTAGGTATAATTATTATATTTAAGGCTATATTAGAAAGCATTAATGTTTAACTAAAGCTGTGTATTGGGAGGAAAATGAGATGCCTTCAACAAAATGTGCTGCCACAATATAACTGGGTAAAGTTTGTACTCTCTCACTTGTTTAGGGGGTGGTTCACGCTAAAGAGATATTAGTTAAGCATCCGAATTGAAGAAACCACTAATCATAGATGCCTCAAGCATCGATTGTTAAGTTTGAATAGTATAAGCCAGGAAATTTATCTGGCAATTGAGATAATAGAATCAACATATAACTATTTGGGAACTCAGATAAAACCTCTAATTTGGGGATCTGAGACAGCTGTTCTCACCCTTGTATCGTAGGAAATGATATAAAATAGCTGCTTCCAGGCAGGAGGTATGATAGCATGAGTGCATATAATGGACTTTATAAAGAGGACATACAAACCACACTTAACATATGTTGTTGGATTGGGCTCAATAGACTGATCTATTGGAACAGGAAATGCCCAAGCTAAATGTGTGAGTACAGATATAGTGTTGACAGTGAGTACAGATATAGTCTTGATTTAACCATGCTCACATCTTGAATTTCAACTCTCCCATTTTATTTAATACCTATTGAATTACACCAAACATGACAGAAATCTCAGCCCCAGTACTTCACATTACCTTAATACCCTTCCTTTCTTTGGTTTTTCTACTCCTTATTCCATCTAATGTTTTCGTCTAATGTGTCCACAATACTACTGTCTTCGTACTCAAGAATCGAGAGTAGATCGTGGTGCTTGTTAAACTTCTACCTTTGGAGCTCTATGAACTATATGACCTTGATCAAAATTGTCTTGGAGAATGAGAGGTGCCATCTACCTTTCTCATCTGCCTCACATCAACGTCAACCAAAATTGCTCGACTTTACTTTTGTTTTTTTACCTGTTAGGTTAAATTGGTGGCATGGTGGTTACATCTTGGGATTCTAACCGCAAAGTTAGCAGTTCCACGGGAGAAGGAGGAGGCTCTCTGCTTCCTTAGAGAGGAACAGTGTCGGAAACCTATATGGGCAGTTTGATTCTGTCCTGTAGGGTGGCTATGTGCTGGAATTGACTTGATGGCAGTGAATTTTGAGAAGGCTAAAACACTACAAGTGTTTGAATTCTGAAAAAACTACAAGTATATTACAACCACCCCAGGCTGCCCCTTTCCAAGATTAAAGATCTCATATAATTTGTTCTGGGAAACTCATTAATGACCACAATATTCTGATAATACAACCTTACTCGCTGAAAGCAGTAAGAACGTGAAGTACTTACTGATGTAGATCAAAGATTACAGCCTTCAGTATGGAGTATACCTCAACATAAAGATAACAAAAATCCTCACAACTGGATCAATAAGTAACATCATGGTAAACAGAAAATATTGAAGTTGTCAAGGATTTTACTTTACTTGGATCCATATCAATGCTAAAGAAATCAAAAACATGTTTTATTGAGCCAATCTGTTGAAAACAACCTCTTAAAATATTAAAAAGCAAAGATGTCACTTTGAGGACTAAGGTAACCCTGTCCCAGGCCGTGATATTTTCTATAGCCTCCGATACCTGGGAAAGCTGGACAATGTAAACAGAAGACTGAAGAAGAACTGATACCTTGAATTGTCATGGTGGCCAAGCATACTGACTACACCAAGAACTGCCAGAAAAAACAATTCTTTTGTCTTGGAAGACATGTAACCAGAATGCTTCCTAGAAGCAAGGCAAGGGAGGTGCCTTGGACATACATCTGGAGGGAAGAAAGCCTAGAGAAGGACATCATGATTTGCTGGGGGTCCAAAAAGGAGGAAGATTCTCAATGACACAGTAGCTGCAACCATGGGTTTAAATCCATCAACAACTGTGAAGGTGGAGCAAGATTAGGTCGTGTTTCATTCTGACATATATAGGGTTGCTGTGAGTCAGAACTAACTTGAAGGCAACAAAAGCCAGCAACAATCTGTTCAGCCAACCCATCCAATATTTTCCCTATGAGTCTGACAAATCCTTCCTGCCTCACATTAAGTGTCATTCCTATTCCACATTCCTTTTATCTCCAACCATTCCAAACTACTCACAATCCCCTGAAACGCAAATGCACTCTTGCATGCTTGTGCCTCTGCAAGGGCTGGTCTTTATTCCTGGAAGTCTATATTTAATTCCTTTTTCCTCATCGTGTATTGGCTTTGTATGTGTGATACATTTATATTCACATGTTCATGCTACCCAAATTGCGTATTAATGTAAAGAATATCCCCATTCCACAAACTATTTTTCTTTTTGACAGAGCAAGCGGTCCCTCCAGGGGGAGAACGGAGGCATTATGGACATGCTACTATTCACACTAGTCTACAATAGTTCGTTCATATACTTTATCTCCACATTATACAGTGCTTCCCTGGATCACAAGGGATGCTTAAGTTCAACATGAAAAAAAATTATTCAATAAACACTTGGTAAATAAAACACTCAAAACTAAACACTGCCATTGAGTGGATGCACACTCATAGTGACCCTATATAACCACTATACCACCAGGGATCCTCTTCATAATAAATACTAGAAAATAGTTATTTATGCTCTGGTGGTACTGTGGGTTAGTAGTTGTGCTGAAAACCACAAGGTCCACCACCCACTCCACAGAAGAATGATGAGGCTCTCTGCTCCTGTAAAAGTTTACAGACTCAGAACTCCTATATTCAGTCACAATGAGTATGAATCAAATCAATGGCAGTTAAGTTTTTTTGTTTTACGGGGCATAGAGATTAATGATAGTCAGTCCTCACACCTGAATTTCATCTCTCATGAACCTATGATGAATTTCTTTTCTTGATTTAATACCCATGCCTGCATGATATGTTCCACACATCAGGTCTAGTTTCCTAAGCTCAGCTGTAACTTGTTCTGTCATTTTTCTGGAAGGACAGTAGATGATAGTTGGGCCTTCAAATTCCCAGGCAGAACTGAAGAAAAAACAAGAACAAAAGAGCAAGCATGTAAGTAGGTTTCAGATCAGCTTGGGTTCTATATTATTTAATTTTTCCTTTCTATTCCCTAAATAGAAGGTCAGGTGGACAAATTATTGAGATCTAGCTGCATTAAAATCTAAAATCAAAACAAAAATCTAAAGTCAAATATGGAAATAAATTATTTTAAGCACTAGATATCTATGACTCATTCTACTTAAAAGTGAAGTTAAAATCAAATGCAAGTTTCTTGATCTTATCAGAATCTTTAATAAAACTAATAAACTACTGATACAAAAATTTAGAGGAATGAAAAGGGCTAGATTAGCAATTAGTTTTAATCTATGTAAGAGAGGAAAATTAATATTTACATAGGTGCATGCATAAAATCTATTATAGTACTCTCGTGTGCTCTTTAGATCATAAAGTTGAGTTTCTATATCTATGGACTGAAAAAGCTTCCTTACAATATTCAATTACTTTTGTATCAAAGGAGTTCTTTATAGTAAAAGTGGGACCACGAGGTTATAGAAAATAACATGTTAGAAAGTCTGCTTGCAACCTGTGCTTACTTACTGACGAGAAATGATTGCCATGTAACATTTACCTCATTGTTGAACATATTACCTTACATAAATGCACTCATTTATACTGACCTATTTAATATGAAGGAACCCTGGAGCATAATGGGATACGTATTGGGCTGCTAACTGCAAGACCAGCAGTTCAAAATCACTAGCTGCTCCACAGGACAGAGATGAGGCTTTCCGGTCTTGTAAAGAGTCGAGGCCAGACTTGTGGAGAACTCTTCTTTAGGATGGAAGGGAAGTGAAGCACAATGAGAACTCACTTCAGAGAGACTGCTAGAGCAGCAGAAGACTCAGATTGTACCAATACTTTTTTTTTTATTCTGAATGTGGAACAATTGAGCCCCCAAAATTAAACCCACTACCATCACCTCCTTAGGGTTCCTGAGACTGTGAATATTTACAGGAGCAGGCAGGTTCCATCTTTATTCTGCAGAGTGAGTTTATTCAACTGGTGAGTTTGAACTGCCTACTTTCCATTGGGCAGCCAATGCCTAGATCACTGCACCAGTAGAGCTCCTTGCAGGATGAATAAGCCAGTAGCAAATCTTTTATCTAACTTTGTACTTAAGGTCCTCAAGAATAACTAGGAATTCTGCAACTCAGTCTCTCTTTTTCTTTTCACCAACCTTTTCCAGAAGGGTTGCAGTATGGGGGAGGGAAGACCACCAATGATCTTTAAACTTTATTTGCCTTGGTACTTTTGAATTTGTACTGGTAGGAGAAACTATTTCAATGACTTAAAACAAACTTCAAAACAGAAAAATTGTAAATTGTTCACTGAGCAGTCAGATCAAGGAAGAAGGTCAAGAGAAGATTTTTAGCGCACATAAAAAATGCTTTAAAATGAAGCAAATAAAAAAGTATTAATCCACTGCCATCAAGTCAATTCTAACTCAACTCAGTGACCCTATTCAGGGTTTCCAAGGGTTTGTCCATCTTTACTAGTGCAGAAAGCCTCATCTGTCTCCCACAGAGCAACTGGTGGGCTTGAACTCCCAACTCTGCAGCTAGCGCTTCAATGCTTACCTGACAGAACATCAGGGTTCCTCATAAAAAGTATTAGTGAATTTATTCCTCAGGTCAATGAAAATAATATACTGCCTTATGAGCAGTTAAAAGCATAACATGCCCAGTATACTTACTGGCACATGATACAGACTCAAACACAAGTTGACTCTTTGAAATCATCCTAAAACTTATTAGTCATGTAATTAATTAAATAAATACAATTTAGATGACAGACTCATTGCTTTCATGTATTTGTCAAATACTAAAAATATGCATCTTGTACAAGTTAACAGTAGAGAGCATTAAAATATTAGAAGAATTAACTATATATCGCACTTGACCCAAAGCTAGGTAGAATCTGAAGTGTGTTAAATATGCATGGAAGGAAGTAATCAAATAATTTTTTTTTAAAGGAAAGAGTTACCAAAATCCATCAATCATTGAGTCCTTACCTTGCTGATTTTATAAGGAATTGTTTCAGATCTTGAAGGATATTTCCTGTTTTTCGTCCAACTTCCAAGTACAAGTTTGGTCGATCAAAACCGGTACATGTAATCTGAGGATTCTTCAGTTTTAAGCAATGTATAATATCTTCCTGGATTGAAGAACTTGCAGTAGCAGTAAGTGCAATAACTGGAACCTAAATTAAATACAATTGATTTTAAAAACAGGAGAGAGCTCATTAATTCCCCACATTCCTACTACTTTCCTAATGAGACCGTTATGACAAAGAACAGAGGTGCACTGCCAAAATACAAACTTGCATATATGTGTATTTTTTAAAGAAAATTCATGTCCTACTTGTTTTCAGCCTTCTAAATACAGTATTTACTTTTTGAAAACTCATTTAAAAAAAAAAACTCTAGTAAGGATTTCTAATATAAATTAAGCCTGCTTAACTTAAATCCATTTGTCACTTTAACATTTACTACCTTTGGAATAGAACTGCTATCAAGAGGGGTATACCAGCTTATTTTGTATTAATCTATAATTCAAAAATCATAAACTCTAACTAAAAAAAATCTAACTATAGAAAACAGTGAGTCTTTTTTCTACTATTATATTAAATATTGGGTGATTCCTGGATGGTACAATTGGTTGAACTTGATTACTTGCCGAAAGGGTGGCAATTCAAACCAACTCTGAGGCACTGGAAAAGAATAGCCTATCCATAATCTGCTTCTAAAAGATTACAGCCAAGAAAACCCTATGGGCAGTATTGGTAGTTACATAATCTGGTGTCAATTTGGGACTTGCAAGGATTAAGAGTGAAGGGTGGAGTCTAGTCTGTCAATCGGGTCATAGCAAATAAGACCTCTGTGTGGGCATGGACTTCCCTTGAAGATTGTGGTAATTCCTATATTTCCTTCTTGGAGGAAGGAGACACCTCTCTCAGCTCACTCCCTTGGAGACACTCTACTGACAAGGCTGACTCCCTGAGACATCTCTGAGAAGTCACATGGATCTACCCTGATGCAGCCCTGAGTGCTGGAGAAGCCGCATGGAGACCCCTGCCAGTGCTGAGATGCTTACACCACCACTGGATTCCAAGACTTTCTACCCACTGGCCTGTGATCTTCCTGCATTCGACATCATTGCATGTGTTTCCTGAGTCAGAAGAGGACTTTATAGATTGGTATTGGACATATAGACTAATATCAGACTTATAGACTTGATCTGGACTTGGCTGTTTTCTCAATATTCAACTGCTCTTGTATATAAACCTCTTTCTTATACACATATGTGTCTATGAGTTTGTTTCTCTACCTACCCAGACTAACACAGCAGTTCTACTTGGTAGTACTGGGCTTGTCAGAATCACCTCAACAGCAGTGGGTATGTGTTTGGGGTTTACATTAAATATATTAATTTATGGCTTCTCAACTCTAAAAGCAAAGCTCTCAATGACCTCGAAAACTAATCTGAATGGCTACTAAATTAATCATGGCATGTTATACATAAATGTATAAAATGAAGTATGCATTATTAAGTGATCCTTTGAGCAACCAAATCATGTGCTTTCAATCTGGTAAATGCTCTTGACTGGATTACCAGTCAAAGCAGGAGACACAGCAGGTGCCATAAAACCATCAACACGGTATCATCCAGAAACTATCTAAGGCAACAAAATACCTCCCTAAAGTAAGTGTTTTTTTTTCTTTATTATCAGAGTTATAACAGGCACCTTATAAGTGTAGTGGGTTCTGAGCTGCATTGCTAAATGCAAAGTCAGTAGTACAAAACCACAAGTCACTTCACAGGAAAAAGAGGTGGCTTTCGACTTCGGTAAAGAGATGTAGTCTCGGGAAACCCACTGGGGCAGCTCTACCCTGTCCCATAGGGTCACTAGGAGCCAGAATTGTCTCGATGGCTGGGTTTGGTTTTTTGGTTTTATCCAGAGTTATAATTAGTGATGCCATTATTGCACATGGGGGAAAAAATAGACTGTCTTAAAGTCATTCCTACACCATTGGATACTTCTCTCTCCCAAATTAAAATTAGAAAAATATGCTTTGGGGTCACTGCAGGTACCTCATGAACCAGCTTAAGCCAAGTATCTTATATGTAAGTGAAATGTATGTGCAATTTACCCACTTTCAAAGAAGTCAGAGGGAATTGTGATTCAAATTAAAATAAGATTAAAATCAACATAGCTTTACTGAATTCAAAATTATCCTAAATATCATGCAAAAAAGTAGTATAAACTAAGTTTATGAATATTTTTTAAAAACTAAGTAAAATCTATGTGATATCTGCATTCTTCATTCTTAAATTTCATAAAATTATTCCAAACTGAAGGCCCAAAATTAAGTCTATCAATTATTTTTCTTGAAATCAAACTACTCCCTTAAGGTAAAGACTGACTACATGACTACTTACAGATTTAAATGGCCCCTAACAACAATATAGGCAAGCTATTTATAAATGTATAAAATATCTGTATAATATGCAGGTACTAAGTAGTCAGAGGAGAATAGCAACATAAAAAAAAAGTCATTACTAACTCATAGTAACCCTATATGGGGTAAATTTCTACAGGAACAAAAAACCTCATCCTTGCACAGAGCAGCTAATGGATTTGAACCGCCAAGGTTCTAGTTAGCAGTCCAATGATTACCTGACAGTGCCTCCAGGGCTCCTTTAAGGAAAAACTAAGGGCAGCTTAAATTTTTGGAATTCTCACTTTCTGAACGACATAGTATTTATTTTCATCAGCTTAAGTATTTTCATTAATAATTTATAAATGTACAAATATGTGTTGTTTAACTACATGTGCAAATAAAAAACAGATTTCTCAGGATAGATCCTATGAGAAAAGAGGTGGTCTGTCTCCAAGCAGTACAATAAATGAGTGACTAGGTAGTGTGGGAGGGTTTTCTACTCCCATAGAGTCACAGTCTCAGAAACCTACAGGGGCAGTTCTACCTTGCCCTCTCACACTGTCTGAGTCAGCAGTGACTCGATGGGTTTCTGATTGGAAATAGTGTATGTATGAAAATAATACACTTGAACGATGGCACATCTTTAAGAAATTTATAGAAAATACAGAGAAAAATAGATGCAGAGCAGTTAAAACAAAATTCAGATCTGGAAATCAGGTTGCCTGAATTTAAATCCTACCTAACCATGGACCATCTATGAGGTCTTGAGTAACTCACTGAACTCTCCGATCGTCGGTTTCCTCGTCCACGACCCAGCTTCCGTGATAGACCAGCTGGTTGAAGGCGCAAATGAAATAAACATGCACAGTGCTGAGTGTAATGCACGGCCCTCAAGAGGTGTTCAGGAAGTTTCAGTTCTTACTAATACTGTGACGGCAACAACTGAAAGGAACACTATTTGAAGAATAGAGCCCAGAGAAATGGGCTCTATTCCCAGGTTTGCTACTGACCTTTGGCAAGGAATAATTTCTCTGGGCCTCAGCTTTTCCATCAAAAAAACTGAGGTGGCTACATCATCCATTGGTCCATCCAACTAAAACTTTCTATGGCTGCACCACTCAGATGCCCTATTCCAGTGATCTCCTAGTCAAAATCACTTTATGCTCATTCATTTATTGATTCAAATTCAGAGTTGTATTTAAGAATGTTGCTTCCACGTCCAGAGAGAGAATAGAAATATTAAAATAAAGTCACAACAGCTGTTTACTTACACTTCAAAAGTACACATGCAATCTGATAAGCTTGGTTCTTTCGGAGGTTTAAAACCTACAAAGTAGTGTGAAGCATTAAAAACACAATGCACAGGCAGGCGTTGAGAAGGACAGGCACACCTCCTGACTGCCCAGTACACACACTCTACTGTGCCCACGGCCTATTTATTAATAGTTTCTGGCCTTTTATTTTCAAAGGTAAACTCGTTTGGGTGATAAATTATCACATGTAGTCAGATTACATTCTTAACTTATTTTTAACTCCTATTTTTTTAAAGTTGGCAAATTTTGATTTCTTTAGTAACAAGTACCAAGTTTTCTTAAAACAGTAAACATATAATCTTATAATTTTATAGTAATGACTTAGCCACCCACTTCAAGGATGTAGCACCCACAGATTCAGAACAGTAGCTATTCCATCTGCGTCTAAATTTGTGTTGTGGTGCTAATTCTAAGTCTGTACTTCATAGCCTCAAGCTTCAGTCGTTCATTCGCACCATTTAGCTACTGAGTGACTACTATGTGCTGTGTAAGTGTTACAGAGAAAGTGAAGAAAAGAATCAAAAGATACATGGCATGGATTTCACAGTTCCTCTTAGGGGAATTTTAATGAATTTTATGACTGATAAGGAGCTTTCTGCCTGGCTGCTCGTTCTCTGGACTCATTTTGCCTGATTCCCTCCAAACAAGATTCTCAGTGCCAAACGGTTAGTGATTTCTTTGCTATCTATGAACTTACTGAAATAATAGAGTATAAAGCATTCCAGATTTATACCAGTTGTTACAATGTAATTGGAATTGGAAGGGGAATGAAAGCCATGAGAACAGGGAGGAAAATAATGGTCCTACAACCAGCAGGTGGCATTTCTCATCATTTAGTTAAAAAAGAGTATTCAGGAAAATCCTAGAGGAAGATTTTCTCAGTCCTTGCTTGACTAACACCCTGCCCTGGAGGCTCAACAGAAGGATGTACTATATTTAACTAGCCCAAGAAATGAAAACGATAAAAAGAAACCATAGCCAGATATAATAAAAGATTTAATTCAGCACTGAAAATTGCTTAAGAACTGCATAAAATATTTAAAATTCCTTTAGCACTATCCTTCAAGAATTCACAGCCTAGAAAAGGAATGCAGACTCTCCCATATTTCCAGGTTGATCATAAATACCTAGATTAACAGAAATCAGTTCTCAAGTTACCTTGTGCCGACTAACTTCCAAGACAGAAAATCCTTCCTTTTTCAACTATCTGTCCCATGAACACTATTAACGGGGTTTCAAAAGTTAATGGAAAAATGTCTGTTTGAAGTCCCTTGGTGTTATTTGTACCACGTACCCATCACATGTACTGTTTGTTAATATTGCTCCTAACTTAATCGGCATAAGCCTCGAAACTGTGCTTTAGACCTCTCACAAACCAGATGCTTCGGGAACGAGCAGCGGGTCCTGTTGCAGTTATTGCCCATCTTCACCATTCACTACGTGTGCGGGCACATTACTCCTCTAGTTCTTGCTTTGTCATCAAAATTCATTTACTCATCCATTTACTGACCAGCTCTTGTGTGCCAGAGACCGTGTTAAATTTTATAAACCAAAATAGCAAAGTTCCTCCAAAGAATATTCCAGTGCAGACCAGACAAAATATGTGTTATACAGCAAAGGAAGATGGGGACTATTGATGGGTTGAGGGTTTAACGTGAAATTTCAGATGATAATCCAGGTGGCCTAAATGAGTAAGTAATATTTTAGCCAAAACTTGAGAGAATACACCATGTGAATTACATGGGGGAAAAGCAAGAATAGATTACCCCAAAAGGTAAGCACAGGTTTATCTTGCTTAGTTACTGATCTGTAGTATACCCTTTCAGATGTTTCACCCAACCTTTGTTAGGTAGTGGTGGTAACGAGTGGGAGAATCTGCTTCCATAAAGACTGCAGCCATGGAAACCCTATGGGGTAGAGAGAATTACACTATCCTAGTATCCTGGAGGCTGAATCAACTTGATGGCAGTAGGGTTTGGATTTGTCTGCTTTGAGCTTGGTGGTTAAAAGCATCGGTTAGGTTTGATGTGGCCAAAAAAATATGTGGAGGAACTGTTCACTACCGATTATTAAGAAAACACAAGTGAACCCATGCTAATCTTGTTTCCTGGATACTCCATCCCTGCCAAGGATTGTAAAATTTAAGTGTGATTCTATAGCAGCGGTTCTCAACCTGTGGGTCGCGACCCCTTTAGGGTTTGAACGACCCTTTCACAGGGGTCGCCTGATTCGTAAGAGTAGCAAGATTACAGTGATGAATTAGCAATGAAAATAATTTTATGGTTGGGGGTCACCACAACATGAGGAACTGTATGAAAGGGTCACGGCATGAGGAAGGTGGAGAGCCACTGTTCTATAGGAACATACTATGTGGCTGGGAGAGAAATACATATCAGGCATACCTAGAAGCAGAATCTTTATTGTGGTGAAATATTTACTACAGTTTAGGCTCAGGTAAGCTTGTGCTTACCTTGTTTATGAGGCAGTCCAACACTGGTGCACAGCACTGAGAGAGGGAACAGAAGAACAAAGACCCCACAGTGGCATGCTGGAATTTTCAACTGATCTCCAGCAAAGCACTGCGGCTGGAACCCAGGGAGGGAGGGACACAGGTGCCACAAGATGAAGACAAGGAGAAAATGGGAATATAGAGGTAATGGGCTCTGGAAGACACTACAATGACTTCCGGCACTTTTCAGAGTAAAATGGTTTGCCACTAAAGGATTTGGAGTAGATGGCTTGAAATGCTGGTTATACACATGTATGCATACATGTAATATATATGTGAGATACATAAATATATGTGTGAAATGACTGCACGGAACAATACACACACATACAGACAAAATACCTTTAAAAACTGGTGAAATATTGATACGCTCTCAAAATTATACTAATGTCATTTTCCCCATTTTGATATTGTATTATTGTCATGTAAGATGATACCATTGGGGACACAGTGCAAAGTACATAGGACCACCTAGTATATTTTCAAATAATTTCCAATAAATCTGTATTTATTTAAAATTAAGAAGCTAAAACTAAATCAGTACCAGAATAATGAGTTTTCAAGTCATTCATATAAAAAATACTTTTTATAATAAGGGATAAAAGTAGACTCTTCATACTAAAAGCCTTTTTAATATCTCTTCTGAATAGTTCAAGTCTTAGATTTTCAATATGATGCAAGAGAACATAACCATGTCTCCTAGTGTCCTGGAGTTAAGTAGATCACTAGAGAGGAACAGGAATCTAAGCACGGCTCTATGGCAAGTGTCAGCAAACGGCCCACAGGCCATATCTGGCCCGCGGACTGAACTCTGCTACATGACAAAAGGATGAAGAAGTATTTTTATATGGGGTTATAAGAAAAAAAATAAAGAATATAAAAAATAACACATAAAAATCCATAACAGAGACCATATGTGGCCTGTGAAGCCTGGGATGTTTTTAATCTAGTTCTTTACAGAAAAAGTTGCTGACCATGCCTATAATATTCTCACTAAATTTATATGCCAAGGTTATTATAAAAACAACAACAAAAAGGTCCTTCCTCAGCTGACATCGTCCATTTGCCCTTTCAAGAAGTCTTCAGCTTTTTGGCTGATCTCCAATTCCATACCCACCCTTGGTAAAAATGTCATTTCAAGACAGTACGCTCGGCAGAGCTTACCAATGGGAGTGCTTCCTTTAGAGAGCCCAAAGCCCTGAAGGAATTTCTAAAATCGTGCCCCCATTCTGAGATACAGTGTGCCTCGTCCACAGCAATCAGTGTGATCCCTATAAAAGCGAAAAACACATAAATTGGAAAACTGGAGTAAACAAGGTAAAGAAACTCGTTTAAGTCAGTATCAACTTCACGTAGAATACATAATTACCACAGAAAGGAGAATAATCCAAATCAAAGTACTTAGTTCATATAGAAATGTAAACATAAGCATCAAATGATACCAGGAATCATTACTAGGAACAGAAGAGACAGGTGGATAAAAGGCAAAATAGGCTCAAGGATACTAAAAGGAAATATTTACATCTTGATTCCAACACCATATTTATAGGATTTCAGGTTTCATCATTATTCCTCTGAGAAATTATGCGGTCACTATACATTTGGCCTCAAAACTATTACTCATGAATCATTTGTGCCAACAATGCCTTAAAAGAGTTTTTCTGTTTCTCCTTAGTAATACCTTCTTTTTTTTTTTTTGTAATATCTTCCATTTTACTGCATACATAAGCTATTAAAAGGCAGGGAATCAGAAAACTTCTACTAAGATTACATGCATCTCTATCCATGATTGGTCACACATCATATTGTAGAAGCCCTCTAGAATTGTCACTATTGCAGGATGCAGGATGAATCCCACATTTTCTAATGTAAAATGGTAAAGGGAGAGCAAAATAGCATTAGATACAAGGTAGGTTAGAAGAAAAACAATTGTTCTGCCAGGGAAGACCCTTCCACGCCACACCCACACGGCACACACACTGAAAGAAAATCAATAGTGAGTGGTGAGATATTTCAGCAAAGGGTTTTATTATGTAAGCAACGATTAAAATTTAGATATTTCAAAGTAATGACAGCAGTGCCTTTGTCCTTGAATATAAAATTAATACCTAAATCAAAAATAAAATTTCCTTCTGTGGGGCTGACCATTACTTGATCTTTATTTCAGTATTAATAATGTCCTTTCACTAGGTGATTAAAAACATGTCCTCTAGAATCAGACTGCCCGGATGTTAACCTAGCTCCACCACTACTATTTGTATAAACTTAGGCAAATTACTTACACTTTCTAACTCTCCATTTTCTTGCAAGTAAAACCTAAAAGTTTTTATAGTTACTCTGAGAATTAGATAATTCACATAAAATGTTAATATAGTTCTTGGCACAGAAGGGAGTTCAATTTAGAAAACCAAATCATTGCTATTATTATTCTTATGGTTACTGGTGGCGTAGTAGGTTACACATTGGGCTGCTAACCAGAAAGTTGTCAGTTCAGCACCACTAGCGGCTCCTAGCGAACAATATAGGCATTCTACTCTTGTAAAAATGTAGGTCTCCGAAACCCACAGGGGCAGTTCTACTCAGTCCTATAAGGTCACTATGAATCAGAATTGACTTAATAGCAGCGGGTTTGTTTTCATGATCTAAGTCCTTCAAATAAATCTCATCCCTGATATCTGTAACGTTTTTAACGCAAAAAGTTTATCTACAAAGATTGGCAGTTTGAACCCACTACACAGAACCACAAAAGGAAGACCTTATTATCTGTCTCCATAAACTCTACTTACGGAGCAGCTCTGACCTGTATCATGTGAGGCAGCCATGAGTCAAAATTGCCTCCCCGGCAAAAAGTATGGTTTTGGAGCACGATCTGGACTCTTTTCACAGAATGAAAGGATTAATTTAAAAAAAATCCATGAACTGAGGTGCTCACAATGCTAACAGAGGAGATAAACACGCAAATAATGACTATTCAGTGAGACCACCAGGTTTGACAGAGTCCTGAGAGAGCAAAGGAGGAAGCATGGAGAAAGAAAGTGACTAAATATTGAGCGGCTGGAAAAAAGCCTCAGTGTTCCCACTCTGTCACCCAGACTTTCACGTTAAATGCCGTTGTTGTTGTTAGGTGCCATCAAGTAGGCTACGACCCACAGCAACCCTGTGCACAACAGAACGAAATACTACACAGTCCTGTGCCACTCTCACAGTTGTTCCCATGCCTGAGGCCAGTGAGGCGGCCTCTGTGTCAATCTATCCCCTCGAGGGCTCACCTTTTTTTCCGGCCACCCTTCCACTTTGCCAAGCATAATGGCCTTCTGCAAGATCTGGTCTCTCCTGATAATATATCCAAAGTCCGTAAGATGAAGCCTTTCCATTCCTGCCTCTAAGGAGCACTCTGGCCTTACTTTTTCCACTACGGAGCAGTTTCCCATTTTAGCAGTCCATGGTACTTGGAATATTCTTCTCCAACACCCCAATTCAAATAAATTCCTCTATGGTCTTCCGTAAAGGAATGTCCAACTTTCACATGCATATGATGCACTGGAGACTACCTTAGTCTTCAAAGTAACGTCCTTACTCTTCAATCCTCTTGAGGGATTTATGTAATAAATTTACCTAATACAGTATGTCTATCTCTTGACTGCTGCTTCCAGGAACACTGATTGTGGATCCAAGCAAGACAAATCCTACATAACTTCTAGCTTTTCACCATTTACCACAATGTTACCTATTTGTCCAGTTGTGAGGCATGTGATCTTCTTTATATTGAGCTGTAATCCATACTGAAGCTCAGTTTTTGATCTTCATCAGCAAATGCTTCAAGTCCACCTCCCTTTCAGCAAACTTGGTTGTGTCATAGAGCAGATTGTTAATAAGCCTTCCCCAAACCTGATGACACACACTTCTTTGTATTAATCCAGCTTCTCTGATGATATGCTCAGTATCTAGAGCAGCGGTTCTCAACCTGTGGGTCGCAACACCTTTGCGGGGTTGGGGGGTGTCAAACAACTCCTGTCAAACAACAGGAGTCACCCTAATCATAACATTAACAAAATTACAATTATGAAATAGCCATGAAAATAATTTTATGGTTGGGGGTCACCACAACATGAGGAACTGTATTAAAGGCTTGTGGCATTAGGAAGGTTGAGAACCACTGGTCTAGACTGAACAAGTAAAGTGAGAGGAGACAACCCTGATGTGCACACTTTTCCTGATTTTAAACCATGCAGTATTCTCTTGTTCTGTTCACACATCCGCCTCTTGATCCATGTACAAGTTTCGAATGAGCACAATGAAGTGTCCTGGAATTCCTATTCTTCTCAAGGTTATCCACAGTTTACTATGTGGATAGTTGAAAGCCACATAGTTGACAGCCTTTGCATAGTCAATGAAACAAAAGTTAACATCTTTCTGCTATTCTCGTCTTTGAGCAAAGATCCATCTGACATCAGCAATGATATCTCTTGTTCCATATCCTCTTTTGAATCCAGCCTGAACTTCAAGGAGTTCCCTGTCAATGTACTGCTACAGCTGTTGTTAGATGAACTTAAGAAAAATTTTACTTGTGTGTGATATCAGTGATATCATTCTATAATTTAAGCATTCTGTTGGGTCGTCTTTCTTTGGAATGGACACAAATATGGATCTCTTCCAGTCTGTTGGCCAAGAGCCTGTCTTCCAAATTCCCTGGCATAGAAGAGGAAGTGCTTCCAGCGCTGCTTCTGCTCTCTGAAACATTTCAATAAATATTCTGTCAATTCCTGGAGCCTTTTTTTTTTGGTTAATACACTCAGTGCAGTGAACTTCTTCCTTCAGCATCATTAGTTCTTGCTCATATGCTACCTCCTGAAATGGTAAACTATCGGCTATTTGGGGGGGAGGGTAAAGTGACTCTGTATTCTTACCATCATCTCTTGATGCTTCCTGCATCATTCAATATTTTGCCTGTAGACTCTTTCAAAATTGCAATTCCAGGCTGAAATTTTTTCTAGAGATCTTTCCGTTTCAGATACGCTCAGTATATTCTTCCCTTTTGGTTTTCTAATTCTTGGCTGTTACTCATTGCATTATAATATTTGGCTTTGTCTTCACAAACTGACCTTTGAGATTTTCTATTCAGCTCCTTGACTTCACCCTTTTTTCCATTTGTTTCAGGTATTCTAAATCTTATGCATTGCTTAGAAGCATTTTCAAGTTAAATAGGTTAAAACAAAGACACAGTCCCTCCTTTACTTTAGACTCTCCTTCATATTAAAAAGCCTTAGTTTGATAAGAATTGTACGAGCCCTCAAATAATTTTTAAAAAAAGAATAATGAGGGTAACAAATTTACAAATGTGCTTTATACAATTGATGTATATATGGATTGTGATGAGTTTTATGAGCCCCCAATAAAATGGCTTAAAAAAAAAAAAGCCTTAGTTACAGATTTGAAAAATTGTCCTTGACCCTGGAGCTCAACTTTGTTCCTGACAATCAGTTATGGCACGCTCAGTCAACATTTACTTTACATTACAACAGGAAGGTCTACGTGTCGTCACAGGCCCTATACATATTTCATTGTGGTATCCCTATCATTCAAGCCTTGTTTCCAAATTTGTGAGATAATTCTAACTGTGGTTGGCTTTAAGGAGTGTCTATATAAAATCATGCTTGCTATTTCTGTTATAAATCCACAGTACGGGGAAAAATGAGGACCTAATGTCGGGGGTTTAAGTGGAGAGAAAATGTTTTGAGAATGATGTACAAATGCGCTTTACACAATTGATGTGTGTATGGATTGTGATTAGAGTTGTATGAGCCCCTAATATAGTGACTTTTAAAAAATAAAAATAAAAAATAAATCCACAGTATGTAATTAAACAGTTGATAAAAATGATAAATCTGATTAGCTAAATGTCAGACTACTATCCAAATAGAATTATGAGTACATTCATTTTTTCAAGCATTTTCCAATCTCCTGCAAACAAAAAAGCCAGAAGAAAATATCTCAAGAATGATTTCCATCTCATTTATCCCTATTAGTCAACACTAAGAATCTATCAAAGAGATACAGATGACAAATGATTTCAGTATTCATAATTTAATCCATTACAAAAAATAAAACAGAGCAATAAAACTCTCAAAAGGATCCAATGTATCCCATGACTAAGGATACAGATAGATACCTTAACTTCTAAAAAACCAAGAAGTAACTTATGCTTAATCCAAAATTAAATTCCCTAACTTCATGTAACTAGATGAAAGATACCACGTTTCCTATATTAAAGGCAAATATATAATCTGCCAATAAAGCAGCTTTAATAGATAATGAATGTACTCTTGGAATATTATTATTCCCAAATATTAATTTCAGCCAAAATTCATTGTGGATATGTAACACATACTAAAATATATCAATTTATTTGCACATATAGTTCAAAAATTTGTTTATGCTTTCTGAGAGTTATATACAAGTAACCATTAAAGGAAATGTTGCAAGTTGGAAAACTTGATGTAGCTGGAATTACTTTAACAGCAAATTATACAAAAAGATTGGAAAATTCAGTTTGATTAGTTCAAGTGTATATATGAAAAATGGTCATTTGCAATAGAACCCATGATGACATATATCTTGAGGAGCTGAGTCTAAACTCCGAGAAAAAAAATACAATTTACTGAAAGTGTAAAAACAATAAAAAAAATGGCACCAATTTCAACAGTTCCATATTTACATTTGATCACCATACTTATTCACTGTGTGCTGAGTTAATATCAGAGAAGCTGAATATATGAAGAACATGGCATTAGGATTTGAGGAATGCTTATTAACAACCTGAAATATGCTGATGACAACCTTGTCTGCTGATAGTGAGGAGAAACTGAAGCACTTACTGATGAAGATCAAGATTGCAGTCCTCAGTATGCATTACAACTCAATGGAAAGAAGACCAAAACCCTGACAACTGGACCAACAGGGAACAGCATGATAAATGGAGAAAAGACTAAAGCTGTCAAGGATTTAATCTTGCTTGCACCTACAATCTGTGCTCATGAAAGCAGCAGTCAAGGGTTCCAAAGACATACTGTATGAGACAAATCTGCTGCACAAGACCTCTTTTAAAGTGTTCAAGAGCAAGGATGTCATGCTGAGGACTAAGTTGGGTCTGACCCAAGCCATGGTAGAAGTTAAGTATCTATCAATTGCCTCTTGTGCGTGTGAAAGTGGGACAATGAATAAGGAAGACGGGAAAAGAATCAACGGATTTGAATGGTTGGTGCTGGTGAAGTACGTATATTGAAAAGTGCCATGAAACTTGGAAACTTGGAACTTGCCATGGAAAGTTCCAAAAGAACACGCAGAGCTATCCTGGGAAAGTACAGCTAGAAGCCTCCTTGAAAAAAAAGGATGGTGAGACTTTGTCTCAGGTACTTTGGACATGCTATGATGAGAGATCACTCCCTGGAGAAGGACATCACGTTTAGGAAAGTAGAGGAGGAGAGAAAATGAAGCAGCCATGGTCAAGATGGATTGACACAGCAGCTGCAATGATAGGCTCAAACAACATTTGTGAGGATGGCTCTGGACCTGACCGTGTTCGTTCTGTTGTACAGAAGATCCCTATGTGTCAGAGTCAACTGGACAGCTCCTAACAACAACATACTTCTATTTGCCTTTAATCTATAGTTTTGTTGTTGTTTTGAATGGTTGAACATCAGAGTCACTAGTGAAAAACTACATATAGATGCCAGGGTCCCACCCATACTTATTAAATCTTAATTTTGAAGACTTGAGGCTGGTTATCCAGAATTTTCTAAAATTTCAAAGTGGAGTCTCTTGAAAATGAACATGGAGAACCATGTGATTAATGAACAATCTAGGAAAGCTATGGATAGAGCTATTAAACATAGATGTGTACATATGTAAATACATCTTATTTAGCCTTTTAATATAGGGCTCCAAACCAGTTTGATCCAGTCCAACCCCTAGATACATATGGCCTATGTACATATACTTATATGGTAATACACTGAGGTCGTGGACGACTTCAGGCCTCTGCTCATACCCACCCTCAATGCAAGAACATTTTGTTCTAACAACTTGGCATTCTGTGATACTTACCACCCGACCCCACCCACAGCCCCACAGACCCAGCACAATTGCTGATGACAAAATGAGTGCATAAGCAAATGTGGTAAAGAAAGCAGATGGTGCCCGGATAGCAAAAGATATAGCTTCTGGGGTCTTAAAAGCTTGAAGTTAAAGCAGCCACCTAGCAGAGAAGCAACATGCCCACATGGAAGAAGCACACCAGCCTGTGTGATCAGGACTGGGTAACAGGCATCCGAAGACCCATAACAAACAAGCAAACAAACAAAAACATATTGTTGTGAACAAGGGGAGTTGGAGCACAGACCCAGAGCCCATCTGTAGTTAATGGGACATCCCCTCACAGAGGGTCAAGGAAGGGATGAGCCAACCAGTGCATAATATAGCACCAATGAAACACACACTATTCCTCTGGTTCCTTGAGGCTTCCTCACCCCCCACAATCATGACTAGAATACTGCCTTTCACTGAGGGTTAGACATGTACATGGATACAGATAAGAGATAAGAGATCACAACACATGGAATCCAGAAACAGGAATGGGAATAGCGATACCAGTGGGTTGGGGGAAGGTGGGGGATAGGTGGGGAGGAACGGGGAACCGATTGCAATGATTGACACATAACCACACACACCCCTCCAGGGGGACGAACAACAGAAGCCATGGGGGAAGGGAGACAGTGGTCAGTGTAAGATATGAAAATAATAATAATTTATAATTTATGAAGGGGTCACAGGGGTGGGGAAGGGGGGGAGGGAGGAAAAAAAAGAGGAGCTGATACCAAAGTCTCAACAGAAAGTAAATGTCTAGAAAACAATGATGGCCTAGCTCAGAAGCAACAAAGCCCACATGGAACAACGTATCAACCTGTGTGATCACGGGGTGTCGAACGGATCACTGAAGACAAATGGGTGCATAAGCAAATGTGGCGAAGAAAGCTGATGGTGCCCGGCTA